TATACACTACAAAATATTGGTTGTTGTGTGTGAGGTTTATAGTGACCACATTCTTGTTATAATAAGATGAAAACAACAGAAACTTACATGGCCAGTGCTTTAGAAATGGAATAGCAATTCAGGCATTTGAAGCCACAGCAGTTGTAGAGACATGCAGTTGTTGCTGGTTTTGAAGGGTTAAGTGTGTCCCTGTTGTTTTCTCCTGATCTGTATTGCTATAGCTTCTGATGTGGCAAACTTTGATGGCAGCAGCAGTCTGATCTACAGACCGAGTGTGAGGCCGATCCAGACGGCGATGGAGGTCATCTCTCTGAAGTTTAAAACCTTGAAGAATTTTGGGACATTGCTCCATGCAGAGAACCATCGAGGTCACAGCCTCACTCTGCTGCTGGAGAAGGGACGGCTGCTGCTCTACCACCAGCAAGGTACAACGTTATATTTAAGATAAAGCTGTAATGACCTCTGGTTTGGTGAGGTCGGGTGTCTGTGGTGATGGATCTCCATCCATTCAACATGGTCGTGTAATGATGATTCTTTTGAGCTGTTCTGAAGGCAGCTTTGGTTTGAGCCTTTGTTATTTTAGCCTTTAAGTCTTTCTGGTTTTCATTCTTGACATACTACGTTATCATGAAGGACTGTTTTACATTTCGGTTTTTGGAGGGACAGCAGCTGCTGACTTCCTGAGGACCAGGAGTCACAGCCACTGTAGAGTGGCAGGAACTTTGGATGTATTAAATAAAATTTTCAAACTATTCTGGAAGTTCTTTCTGACAGATTTTCTGGCAAACTCTGCAGCTCTATTTGTCTGTTCATTTTGTATCTGTTCATTGTTCATTGCTCTGAGTAAATGTCAGCTAAACACCTTAACCGTACAGTGTAATTACACACACTCAGACTCCAGAGCCTCCACCATCCCATCTTTATACTGGGTATTTAATATGCAACTCATTTTTGTTCCCACATTGAAATGTACGGAGACTCAAGTGGGTCTCCATCCATCTGGTTTGCTTACGTGTTTGTCAGATGTGATTTCTAAAATAGCACTGATCCAATTTTGAGGAAATTCGGAGGAATTACTATTTGTTTATCCATATGTCTCAAGCTGTATTTCAGACCAAATTAATGTGTAAGAAACTCAGGGAACTGATGCATTTCACCATTGCAGGCTTGCAATTACAGGAGTTTGACTGTGAAAGAAAGCAGCATGACTTGTTGGGGAAAAAGGTTTACAATTCTTACTCTATTTATCACTTTCACCCAAACTTTATCCTCACTTTCCCTCTGTCAGGTTAACATCGTCTTTCATATGCCCTTACTTTTCTGGCTCTCTCCTTTTCTCACAGCTTGACATCGTCTTTCATATGCCCTTACTTTTAATTTATGATGGACACTTGCAACATGTGTTAGGAATGAACTCAGTGGAGCGCACTGGGCCCGTACAGTGTAACTTGATCTATGGCCTCTGCTACAGAAAGGAGCACTGGGATAAACTGTGTGTATTTGTGTTGGTGTAAATGAGGTTAAACCTGAGGTGTGGTCAAATCTCCTGGTCGTCATATTACCACCATACATATGGCAAACCTCTCATCAACCCTGCTCTGCTCACTAACCAGACCTTTTCTTCATTCATTTTGCGTTAAAGGTTTTCCTGTAATTTTAAAATGGTTATTACCCAGGAATATCATTTTTCCAGGGAAAGTATCTCAAAGGTGGAACTGTGGATAATTAATCATAAAATGAGGTTTAACCTGCGTTTTCTATTCTTTCCATGCTCTATTTGTTAAAGCATGTGGTATCATTTGCTAAAGGACAGGATTTATGAGTGGAAACGTTTCTGATACCAGAGGGGCTGCTACTTCTTGACTAACCATTCATGGCTACACATTCAGATGAAACTGTACCAAAGCAGCTGGGCCAGTGTAGGTGAACCTAAGCTGACGCAGCACCGCTGGTTAAGCAGCCGAGTGTCTCTTCACTGTTTAGAATTCAAAGGCACAGTGACAGAGGGCACAGTAGATTATTGACAGCACTGCCTGCTGCCCAGTGTGCGGCCCAATAATAGGTCAAGACATAACATTAAAGTGGTACAATGATGTTCTGAGAAGGTATGTTTCACTTACTAAACGTCTTCAATATGTGACCACACAGGAAATCCCAGGTTCCCACAGGTATTTTTCTCAGAAAATGAAGCAAATTTTGGTGAAACTTTTTTCTATATTCAGCCCTAGTTTGTACCTCTCTGTGCTTCCTTCACACGTCTTGTCAGTATATTGTCCAATTCCCGCCTGTCAGCTGTGGAAAGGTGTCATCTGTAAAATCTATCAGTTTGACATCAGCTCCCTGAGTGAGGCCTGTCACAACTCTTTGCTAGAGCCGAGCTGATAGTTAACATAGTGCTCAGCTGAGAATGAAAAGAAACACCCCTCACCGCTGTAATGCAAGAGCTTTTTGAGCTGTGATAGTCCAGTGACAGCCAACACGGGGGAAAAAACACATCCTCTGCCTCAGTCACAGTGCTGTGCATGCTTCTTTTCTGCATGCATCTCTCTCTGGCCCTCTTTGTTTCCCCACTTGTGTGCCTGGCTGCTCCGCTTTCTTTTTCTGCCCTTTCTTTTCTCACACTCTGTTGTTATTTATCACAGCCTTTCTCATATTGTATGTTCCCCCAGTTCTACCCCTGCTAGATTTTTTTTCTGAGGTGATTATTTGCTCTTTTCAATTGCCTGCTCTTTGTCTTTCTCTCCTCTTTCTCTCTTTGTATCCCCCTCTTTCACACAGCCCTCCCTCCCTCTTGCTCTCCTAGGAGTTTGCAGTCTGCAGACAGTGTAATTTAGATCAATAGTTTGGAGCATCCACCCTGAGCCGCAGCATGCTCCTCCACAGTCAGCTGCTGGCTGGATTTGAGGAAAGGAGAGAGGTCCAGACTATGAGAGCAAAGATAAAAACCTGAAAATGTAGATTACATTATCTTCATACCTGAGTGTGAATGATTCTCTGAGGGTCTTCCTACTTGTCTCTCCCATCTGGCAACCTGATCCTGTCAGTCCCAAGCTTCTCTTTAGCAGTGATGCATGCCACATCAGGACTAAAACAAGCTGGCTGAGACTCAGATGGCTAATTATGGCTAAGGGCTTGTTCCAACCTCCTTGCATAGCAAAATGTGTTGTCCAAAACTTTGTAGCGCAGAGCAAGTGCAAGTGTTATTTCATGCATTTCCAGGGTGCTAAGGCAAATACTGTCCTGTCACTCTGAAGTCTTTGCTACAGAAGAAGCACTGGGGTGTGTTCTTCGGCATCTTTATGATGTGGCAAATGCACACTTTTATTTCTTTTACTGTCAGCAATTTAGCAGAAGCTAAATGATCCACTCCTATTTAACAGCAATTTTCATATATAGTGTATAAATCACATGACCTGACTCGCACCATGGGCCAGTGACTCTTCCCCCGTTGGGTGAGCGACATATCGCGTCTGTAAAACGCTGGTCAGCCACTACTTATATGTGCATAATACTTGTGTGACCCTTTCATTTACAGCTGCATTTACATAGTTTGCATAGAGTATGAAACAGCCCTAATACTGTGTATTACTGATGTGTGTAGTTTATAAATTCACAAGCATACAGAACTCAGCCGGAGCAGATCTGAATTTTCAGTAACTTCCAGAAGCATAAATTAATGACAGGATGAAAATGGAGACAGACATACTAATATGCAGTAAGCAAGCAGGCAGACAAGCAAACAAAAAATAAATACAACAGTGAGACAGATCCTATCTGTCTGCCTGTATCTGTCCAAGCAGTTGGAATAAATTGGCTGGCTCATTAAGATTTATGTCCGCTATCTAAAACCCTCTCATTTGTTCTGTGATTTGCATTTATCAAAATGTCAGTTTGTTATAATGTAGCCCACTGCTTCATTATTCAGTTTAATTCTGAACTGTCACCGGCCAGCTGTAGTACATAGCAGTAAATACACTGAGGGCTACTGTGTCCTGCTCCACTACGTTCTTGACGAATGCTGTTAAGTATTGCTGACTAAATTAGGGTGGCATCAGAGAAGCGTGCAGGGCAAGCTGCATGTCAAGTGAAAGTCTTTTCTCGCTGTTTTCAATAAGGACGTGTTACTGCTGCTGTCTGCTTGCTGGCTGTGTTTTGACACTACAGACCCCAGAATATGTCAGATTTTACAGTAACAAAACATCAGTGTGTTTGCAAAGATTTTCTCTAATCGCACAGAGCAACAAAAGCTCCAAGCAGAGCCTCCTCCGGCCTCTGCAGCACACTGTTGAAAAAAGGATGAATGGACCAAGTGTGCCAGGTGGCCAAGAAAGAAGACCAGGAACTGTGGTGATTACTATTGTATTTGCTAACTCCAGTCCACTTAGTTTATGCTGATTTACAGTGAGCTTCCAGTTTCTGTTGTAAACAATCTTATAAAAGTTTCAGTAAGCGTGCCCACAACTTTCAGAGGAGCCTGAAAGTGCAAAGATGGCCTTGGGACTCTGACAGTACTGCAGTATAATAGGTTGCCTACTGCTGTTTCCTTCTGTGCAGCAACAATACAGTTTGTACAGTATTTCAAAATATTAAGGTGATAAGCTTCACCCACACTGCAAACAAGAAACAGAATACCCCCTTGTGCAACACCACTGAAATACTAACAACTGTAGGGTACTTATTTTATCTATGCCATCAGTCAAAAGTTGTAGAACAGACCTATTTTTCCCATTTTTATTGACATTCAAGCAGTTTAAACCCAGTGAACAGCTTTAAATGGACTAAAGCTAAGAAGTAAACTGCCAGAGGAGGAAAAAAAGTCAGCAAAAATAGAAAAGTATGTCAATTTCATGCAAAACAGGCCTTTTTCAAGGATCAAACAATAGGTTAACTACCATCTTTTCTGCAGCAGTGGAAGTAGATGAAGCCTTGAAATTACATGCAAACAACTTTTGTTGATGACTTAATAAATTCTATCAGCACAAAGGTAGCGTTACCAGTAACTAACATTTTCATTCTGTATATATATATATCGTTACTTTTCATTGTGTATCTTATTCAGTTTACTCTGTTTATGTGTGTGGTTTGTCGACATGTTTTTGATCATAATACACTGATTTAAACAGGAAAGGGACAGATAGAGACCCGAGACAGCAGTTACCTTCCAGTATATCTCTGTGCTGATTCTGTTTTCACAGTTTGCTTTATGGTAATGAACTCAATTCCCTGTTGTGACTAAAACTGAGAACTGGTTTAGAGAAAGTGCATTATATACACTGAAGCTGTATTTCAAATACTGGCACCATGTGATGGTGAAATGCTTAAACAATTATAACAGACTGTCTCCTGATAAGACCCGTCATTGTCGTCCTTCATAAACAGATTTAGAGCTCGAGCGAGCACGAGCCATAATGGAATAGCAGACAGCATATGATTAGGTGATATTGCCTCAAGGAGCAGTGTTCAGCACAGACTCCTCAGCTGAAAGATGAGAATGTTTAATATTAGTCCATTCAGTCTGGATAAATCAAGCAGTTATTGGAGGGCAACATATTTGTTTTTTCCAGTTGGACAATAAAGGCAAGTTCGAGCTCTTGCAGAATGAAAATCCTGCATCATGAACTTCTCACAGGTGTGTAGCCACTGAGAGGACCAGTGAGGAAAATGTCGACAGTGAAAGGAAGAGATGAGGTGATTCATGAATGAAAAGTGTTTCTCTAACTGTTCTGTTCTCTAACTCAGACTGGCACCAATCTTTCCTTTGTTTTTTTTCAAGCTGAAACCACATCATGTCTGAGCTGAGAGGTGATTAGCTTTGTATATACACTGGGAAACAGCTACTGTAGCCCTGTGTGAAGTTTAAATAGGCACCGTCAAAACAGGTGAAGCTCACTAAGGAGCATCAAACAGAAACAACTGTTTCTGGTTTAACTATGACTTGGTAAGAACTGTTTCTCCCTCAGCAGCAAATGGTTTTAACATTTATTCTTGTGTAAACAAATGAGATATAGCACATTAATTAGTGAGCTTTAGCCCTGGGTTGACAGCTGGGTTTATGGACAGAGCCAGGCAAGCTGCTGCACAATAAAAGCTGGTTTGAAAAAGTATTTTTCTATAACATTTAATGTGCTTGACTTAAAAACAATTCAGAACAAATTAAGAAAAAAAACACAGGAATTAAAATGTTATCACTCAACTAATCTCCTTCATCAGAACAGTAGGGGTGTAGTTTGATCACATATGATTGACTGGAAACACAAGGAAACAACCCATCACATTTTAAAACAAAAAGGACTGAGGTGATGCAGTAGAACCATAAATGTTATCTTTAGACATTAAATGTGATTTCACATAGCTCCCTCTGGAGACGCATGTTTTTACATATGCAGTAATATTCTCTAAGACTTGAAACTAGTCCATCAGTGACATGGAACTATGACGGTACTAAATCAATGCAGCAAGACTGGTGTGTTTCTCTGCTTTTGGAAAAGTCTCATTTAAAGTTACTATACTTTTCACTCCACACTAGTCAAAGGACCATAAACAAAACGTCAAATGTAAACCTAACAAAACTACCCACAGGCCTTCATGTACAAACACAGTAAAAGTAGATATACTGTACATTGCAGTTTCCAAAAATGCCACTGTAACCTCTCTGTCTATTTTATTTGTAATTAATGAGTGAGTATGTCTCTCTCTCTCCTTCTGTTGTAGATCCTTCAGTCAGCAGAATCTCTTTTATCTCCCAGTGCAATGCAGAGATGGATCCCCCAATTTGGACCTGCTGGTGTTGGGCCTGTCATTAATTATGTCCTATCATTTTGCATCATCATCATTTATCGTGATCAGCCCTCCTCCCTTCCAGCATACAGATCTGTGCTCTCTAATGAGGGAGGCTGACTTCAGTGACCCGCTCCCTGTTTGAAACCAAGATGAAAAATATTCCACTGAAGTAGCCGTAGATTCTTTTTGTTTTGAATTATCAAACATGAACCTTCCTTTAGGTTTCCCTGCTGCCAGAAATAAGAGGCATTTTAAACAGATTTTTTTCCATCATATTTGTCCTTATTAAAATGCACTATGGACGAGGACAGATACTGACCTTGAAGTGTTTCTCAGGCAATACACCTTGGAAAAAAAAATCAAAGTTCCTCAAGAGGAAGTGCCCATTAAAGGACTTGTACATTAGCTGGAGCCATTGCTTTGCTATCAAGTGCACCGGCATGACAGCAAAACTCTATTTTCTTCTCTCCATATTGCAGGTGTGAGTTCATCCTCTGGCGGACAGCTGCTTGCTACTCTGGGCAGTCTGCTCGATGACCGACACTGGCACCATGTAAAGCTGGAGCAGCTCAGTGCTCACCTCAACCTCACTGTGGACAAAGACACTCAGCAGGTTCACATACCGGCTGAGCTTAGCCACTGGGACATTCACCAGGTCAGAAAACACTGATAGCATTTAGGACATGCACATTTTCTGTTCCTGTAATTAAGGTGTTAAAACAGCCATCCCCTCTATACTTGGAAGCTGAGAACAAAATGTACTGGCCTTTAAGGAATATGGTAGCTATGCTCAGCATGTTAAGGCCAGTGGATTTCAATAGTGTTGAGTTTGCATGTTGAAAAATGTTGCAAAGCATTAATAGAAACCACTCCTGCAGCATAATTTATTCCTATTAGCCATTTGTTTAATAACCTTAATTATGCCTCGATGCCGGCGATAGCTGCGGCAGAAGGCATTATGTTTTCGGGTTGTCCATTTGTATGCATGTCTGACCCATTCTTGTGAATGCAAGATCTCTGAAATGCCGTGAGAGAATTTTTTTTCAAATGTCACATAAACATCCACTTGGACTCAAGGATGAACTGATTATACTTATGTGGTCAAAGGTCACAGTGACCTCACATCTGCCCCATCCCTGTGAATTTGACTGGTTGGTGGAGACTTACATATGTGAAGAGGTAGCTCTAGTTTAAATACTGTATTTTATGACTGGCTTCCAGACATGTCACTCATTACTTACTTTAATGAAGTACTTACTGATTGAAAAAGCACCATCAGAATCAAGAAAGCCAGTCTGCCTTCTGACTAATAAAAATCTATGTACAACAACTAGCAAACTATTGCACTAAAACGCATTACAAGGTTGCACATAGGTGCATTTAGCCATGTTCTTGTGAAATAATAATATAATAACGGCTGTAGATCATAGTTTATTTAGTCTGTGCAGGCACAGTGTTTTTAGGGTGTTTTGATCTTTTTTTCCTACTGTCAGAGCTTACAGCTCACCAAAGCTGTTTTCTCAGAGAATAATGAAAATGTAAATCTTTAACAGGTACTCTACATTTGTTTTTACATTTCTGACGTGTTGATTTCCTGTGTAGCTGAGTGTGGGAGCTGTCCAGAGCCATGGGCTGCAGAAACCCATCCTGTCCAACAAGAACTTCCATGGCTGCCTTGAAAACCTGCTCTACAACAACCTCAACCTGATAGAGCTGGCTAAAAATAAGAACCCCCGGCTCACTGTTATGGTAAGGTATTGTGTTGCAGGGAGTCGCACACTAGCGGTGTGGAAGGGTTAAACCTTGGGCTCCTGAAATCAAAGTCCTGTTTGTTTCCCATAGACCAGTGGTTGTCTAAAAAGCATACTTTTTCCCCTGTTCATCATCTTACAACCATATTATCTTGTGACCACTTGGCTTAAAATCACTGTCATATACAGTAGTTAATACAAGGTGGCTAATGGATGTTGGAGCACCTCCAGCCATGTAATTAGCTTAAAGATTTCCTGGTTGGAAAAATCTGGTTCATTGATGAAATGTCAGAGGCACAACATTGTGTGTGTAAAAAGATGTCAAATACAAGTTTCAGAATGCTGTACAAACATCTGTTCAGTGAGCTTAAATGTTAGTTTCACAGTTCTGTGAAACTTCAGCAGCTTCAGTCACTTTATTTTTTGATTTTACACACACACACATGCAAAAGTCTTAGGCCACCATTAGTTTTGTTGCTTTAGCAAAGTTTTAATAATAATTTATATGTATTTCTGTCTTTTTATTATAATCAGCAAATACAGGAAATATGTACAGTATTTTTTATTTCTACATTCCAAAGTCAGTATTTAGTGTGACCTCCCTTTGCCGTTAGCACAGCTTGAGTTCTTCTGGGGAGACTGACAAAGTCTTGAAACCATGACAGACCCTCCACCATGTTTTTTGAAGGCTATGAGTACTCATCCTTCCGCTTCTCTCCAACTCTTCTTCTCCTCCTCCTCTTCTTCTGCCAGCAGTGACTGGACCTAAAAATGTCAAACTTTGATTCATTGTTCCATGAATCTCTTTTCCACTGATCTTCACTTCAATCTTGGCAAACTTCTGCAAATCTCAGCCTTTTCTCCCCATCTGCTTTCGGAAAAAATGGTTCTTTGGCTACGGTCCTTCTACAAAGGCCGTTTCCTAATCGAGCGTCTTCGGACTGTGGAAGGATCGACTTGGCATCCAGATGAAGCTGTCAGATGCTTGCTGCATTTGCTCTGCTTTCTCAGAGAATAAACTCTGAGAAACCTCTCATCCGATTCTAATCATTTTCTTTGTCTTCCACTCATATTTTTGTCCTTGACCTCTCTGGATTCTTCAAATGTCTTTAGAACAGTTGAACACTACATCTTGAGGAACCAGTTTGTTTCCTGATTTTTTTTTTTTTTTTTTTTTGACTTTTTTGTAGTTTTTAATGTGTACATGTATGTCTGGTGCCACAGGAGTTCGTTTGTCAGTTTGGGCCAGACAAGCCCATTTGTATCCATGCTGCTAATTAATTACAATGTGTATGTCTTATAGATTATCAGATGTTAATATCCTTTATCAGCACCGTAATCATGATTAGAACAAGTTGTTCACTTCAGAACTTATTGTGCTCTCCGTCCCTCAATTTTTTTCTGCACCAATTCCATTATTATGCTAATGGACACTAACGTGATTATTATTGTCATCATTATTTTCATCATCTGCATCATCATCCTCTTTATTTTTAAACCCATCGTTATCATTAGTATCATTATAATCTCCTTCATTATCATCACCAATGTCATCAGTTGCACATTTTAGAGTTACAAAGCTCAAAGCAAAAAAAAAATCAACAACAAAAATAAAACTGCAGAAGAGAAAAAGTAATCAGGGAGGAAAAGTAGAGAATAAAATGAGAAGTAATGAAAGAAGGGCATGAGAAGAGAGGGAGGAAATAGCCCTTTGTGATGAATACTAATCACCACAAAAACATTTATGATGAATCGTAAGTGTGCATGGCAATATGAATCAGTATGTAACTCATACTGCGTTATAGGAGGCCTCACTGAATGTACACCGTACCTCCATTCCACATGAGTATTTTTATTTTCCTACAGAGTCACAATTAATTAGTTTTTCTAATGTAATATGGACGTTTCTGTCATGCTAATACATCAGAACTGTTAAAACAGTTATTGTATTTCAGCTTTGTATTAATTGTTTTTCCCCGGTGCCATGCTTGGGGTAAAAAATATGAAAGAAATAGACGAAGCAGGCACAAAAGATGTGTGGCTCAGATCCTTTAGGTTTTTAGCTCATTTTAGCTGTTCAGCTAATATCAGTGTGGTAATACAGATGTCCTTTTTCATGGAGCTGCTGATGAGACCTCTGTGCTGTCAAGTTAAACCAAGTCAACTTCTGCAACTAATGAATATTCATGATTTATTTACTCTTTTCTAATCATGTCTTTTTCTTCCTTCCTGTCTTTGTTAGGGCAATGTGACCTTTTCTTGTGTTGAGCCAGTTTCAGTCGCTGTGACGTTTACTGACTCCCGAAGCTTCCTACATTTGCCAGGACTGACATCGTGGTCATCGGGGGTCATTTATGTAGCTCTGCAGTTCAGGACATGGAACAAGGCAGGGCTGCTGTTGACCTTTGACCTCCCTCAGCAGGACGGCACAGTGTGGCTATACCTGCGTGAGGCCAGACTCCGCCTACAGATCAGTAAGGCAGGCAGGGCCGCGCTGGAGCTCAGCGCAGGTAGGTCCAACCATAATCCTGCAAGCCTCTGTCATTTTGGACAGAATCCATTGACTGTGAATACCAGAGATGTCATAGCATGTTCCCATAGCTCATAGTTACACCAGAGACAACATTTATTACCCAAATAGATTTGTTTAAATTCAATCAAGAAGAAAGACAAATTAAAAAAGTTGTTTTTCTGCAATAAGACATTCTCTCCTAATGGAGAGAGTAGCCGGTCCATCGTGGCATAAACTACCCTGAATTTCTACTAAGTTGTGTGGCCAAACTTTAACTTTGACCCCAAACACACCGACCTCCACAGTGCACATCCAATGAGATTCTGGAATTTACAATAAAGAAAAATGATGGGAAGTAAATTTTGTCCATTTCTGAATTCCTGGAGTTATGCAGCTCAGCCCTCAGATGCAACCAGATCCAAATATGCTGAGACCTTGATATACTGCTAAAAAGGCTTCCAAATTGTTGTGCTGAGATGTTCTTTCACAGCTCCACAAGGCTGGAGAATCCTCATCGTGCTTCAGGAAGTAAAACGGGAATTGTGAACCTGATTTGCTGCCAGACAGGAAAGACAATAAAATCAACCACAGGTCCTATTACAATGAAAACATGCAGGTGAAACCATTTAATTAACATTTCTCTATACGTTTGTGTGTGTGTGTTGCTGTTAGGCTCTGGTCTAAATGACGGTCAGTGGCATTCTGTGGAGCTGCACTCCAGAAAAGATCATCTGAGCATCACAGTGGACAAAGACAAAGGAGCCACCGCTCACACCAGCATCCCACTTCTAACCACAGAAAGTCAACTCTTCTTCGGTGGTAAGACACTAGACGTTTTTGTTGTTATTGTTAGTGGTTAAAAAATGATTGTCAGCCACTGTAGCTACAGCTGGGGACAGCTATAAAATAATGTTTCTTCTACTAAAAGGCTTCTGGTGTCAGATATAAATGGCACAGCTTTTGCTGTGAGTGTAAGGAAATCTGCTGACATGAACATTTACAGTAGGGCTGGTTAAAATTCATGGAGGTACTCAGGTAATAATTATTATCTCCTGATATCCTTTGGAGGTTTCATGCCACCCAGAGAAGGATGAAGTCATAAAGCTGCTTAGTGTCTCTTGCTCAGCTCCCTCCTCCTTTCTGGCCCATCTTCTGTCCAATCTCCTCCTCCTCAATCCCTCTTTTCAACTGAATGTTCTCCTCTCCCTTCTTTTTCTCACCCCTTTCCCAGCTTCCTTTGCTCTTCCTTGCTTGATGCATCCCCCTCTCTCCAGTCACCTTCCCTTTTAATTTTTCTCTCTCCCCCTTTTATTTGCAATACTTATATTTTCTCCCTACAAGTCACACTTTTGTATACACATATTTACAAACTAAGATATGCGTACTGTAGCAACACAAATCATAGAAGTACACTTTACTTCAAGTCCCCTATTTATCATTTATTCAAGCCTTACATAAATGGTTTGTAACGCACTATAATGCAAGCAGATATAAAGACATTTCAGGCATTTAATGTGCAGTGCTTTCACAACATAACTTATACAGTATTTGGAAGATGTTTTCACGTCTGTATTTCCACTCATTATCTATATATACAGTGGCTTCTACTTATGAATGCACACAGGAGCAGCAACCTTAATAAAAGTGTATAATGTATCTGCATACAACATTATGTTTATATACTGCTCAGGAATGCTAAACAGGACAGCTTAAAGTAAAATGTTACCAGTTCTCTTAATACAGAAGGCAGTCTTCATATGATGAATGAATATACAGCGAGTTTGACTGCTGTAATGAATCATAGTGATTTTAACCCGATGCTACGGTATGACAGATTTGGAAAACTTCCTCCATGCATCACTGTCATTAGTGTAAGTCACTGAGCTCCTAAAATTAAGTGGCAATAAACAGTGACTCCACATTTTCCTCCTCCTCTGCCGGGAGGTGTCGAACTGTACACCAGATGGGTTGATAGTAATTAG